TCTTCTCTCTATCATTGCGGTCCCAATTAGGACCAAACAACATGCTGCCTTTCTCTCCTGTCCGATGCTTTCTTCGTCAGTGCGGATTTTACTGGCCGCGAGGACGTTCCAAGGGGCAAGTGTTAGGCCTGGTTTTTTGATGTTAGGATTGTGAGATGGGTTTGATTGAAGGAACGGGTACCTTCAGATCTACCCATAGGAATTATTTCGTGCTGGAAGGAGCGGTCCAGGACGTTCCATGCGCCTTGGTAGATGACGAATGGAGTCAATGAGTGGTCTCGTGCGTATTGGCTGGCTTTTAAAGCCGATCCAAGATACACCCTGCAATTTTCCGAACAGTCCTTAGAAAGTGCTTTTTGAAATATACGAGGTAGAGAATTTTGCCTCGCTGAACAAGGGCGTGCAAGAGCGCATGACTTCCCCAAGGCTCGTGTCCGACCAGTGGAGGTAGAAGAGGTCGATGTAGGTCGTACGCTGCTTCTTGAGCGACGCTTCCACGAAAATGTGCAGTGATTTCGTGCTGTTTCCGGGGTCAAGGATCTTTTGCTGCACGGAATCGTCGCCACATTTGAAGTTGGAGCTATACTAGATAATGTAAAATGTTGTGTTATTTTTTGCCAGGCCCGGCTTACCTTGGTCGCAATGAAGACTGCGTCTCTGATTCACCGAGCCTGAGCCCATTCACCATAAATTCCTCAGACGTTTCGTCTTGGCTGTAATTTCATAGCAACTGTCGTAACGCAACACTCTCTAGCTATTCGCCGTATCGATGAATTTGCCCCCATTGTCATAGTAAGCGTCCAAGAGCTTGAAACTCGCCTTCTTGGTCATGGAGCTCATGCCAACTTGTTGCCATTTGTTTCCAATGCTCATGGCGCCGAGCTGAAGCAGAGAGATGTGCATCGCGGAATTGGGTGATAAAAATCGATGCCGACCGAGAGCTGGTCGAGGTGCGAAGAGAGAAAACATTGAAAACTGGTTCTCAATGATATATTGTCGACCGACTTGTAGACAATTGGCCAATGACGTTGTCGCGATCATGGTCTAAGACGATAGTACGTTTTCCAATGTCCCAATCAGTAAACAAAACGGCGAGGAACGGGTGACAACTGTCAGTAGTCCGCTTCAGCATAGCGATATTTTTTGCTGTAATCTGGATCTACAGTTAAAGCTTGGTAAAAGACTGAAGACAACGCGTCAGCTTGCCTGCCCAAACATAATGTAGGAGTCAACTACCTTCGAGAGGACCTCTTGACAACCTCTTGAAGTGTATTTCCAAGGTATCACCGATACGCGCAGTGGTCCGACTGTGGTCGTGAATTTGAGGGACGTGTTTGACATCCTTTGTTCATCTAGTGATTGCCAAACTAATCTCCTCGTCCTCCTCGTACCATCAGCCTTTACTGACGGTCGAATGCCCTCCTCGACGAATTTACGAATCTAACGACATGTCTTCAACTCCCTCCAAACTCACCCTTCTCCTCCCAACCACGCCCTACGTCCTAGCGTACTCCTTACCGCTGCTCCTTCTCTCCGTCCTACTAACCTTCGCAGGCACGTTCCTTACCATCGACAGATCGCGCTCCTTCACTCCACGTAGCGACGCCTCCAACTATTCTTCGCTTCCTGGTGCCTTTGACTCTCCTAAAAAGAAGCGAAGATTCTCATGGCTTCTTGAAGGTGGAATTGGGGGACTGGCGAGCGGGTACGCTTTTGGTCGTATGTCTTTTCTTTCACATCAATATCTGCAATTGTATATTGACAAATTGCGTCTTTTGAAGTCCATCTCTCTACCCTCCTTGTCCTTCTCATACCTGCGACATCTTCCTCCGCTGCGCTATCTTCCAAATCATTCGTTGCCGTCTGGATCTTATCCTGTATCGTCACCACTTTCCT